AACTTTTACTGCTCCCTCACATTAAAATCTATTGGTCTATTTTGCACTTTGAATCTTTTTTCTATGCATGATTTTGTAATATCATGCACTGGTCATTTGGAAAATATTGGCTCACTATGTAGATCTTCCAAATGTTGACATTTCATCGTACAGTACCAAAAAAACAAAAATGTTAGTATCACTACCAGCCTTATCAGAAAAGCCTTTAAATATTGATAAGATACAAGTTTCCCAAAATCCTAATTTTCATTTAAAAGCTCAATTTTTATCACTGGCAACATAAAACGACGTGTTGCTTTCCTTAAAGTGACAGAGTTCAGTTCATTCATTTTTAAGAAAATGGCTGCCAAATATCCACACCATAGTTTGTTAATCACTCTTTAAAGTAAAAATTATTTTCCAAGAAAAAAAGCAGCTAATCCAGCTTGGAATTCAAACAACTGCACCAGTACTTGTCTTACCACACTTCAGTCTGCAGAAGCACTTTGCATTATCACATTTTATCACACACAATATTAAGGATCAAGATTTTAAAAGTTAATTTCTATTGCTTCAAGAACATAAAAGTAAAACTAACGTGATTTTGTTGGTGGCGGTAGTTTTACTCTAAGTATGTGATGGTAGAGATAGAATAACTTTTAAGAGGGGTCTGGAGGTACTATCTTAATTCCTGCTAAGGTGCCAAGCAATTTTATCCCTCATTGATTTCCTATTATTAATACAAACATCAGAACAGTGAATAAGGCAAATAATGAATCAGTCTTGCAATGAAAACAGTTTCAACTTTGCCAACACCTGAAAATGTATCAGAAACAATCCTCTCCCCACCGTCAGCCCCCACCTCAGTTCCAAAGACCAACTTCGAGAAACAACTTTAAGTTACTATTCTCACTTAGAGTCTGTTAAGAGGAGCATACATAAGGAAATGAAAAGCAATTAGATTTTCCTAACTAAAACTTTTGGTGTAGAGATATTAGACACCGTAGAGACTTTGGATTTAGAATATGAATCTACCTAAGTTTTAGGCAGCTGGAGAGATTTGGAATGCAAATAACTGTCAGGTGTGCTCTATTTCATCAAATGTCAGAAAAACACCAACAATTTGCCTTCCTGCCTCTTCTTTCTGCTTATCGTGAGACAGAAGTTCATCACAAAGGCAATGGGCGACAACTGGAAGGCAACAGAAATAAGAGCAGTACAATTTATTGGGGGCTTACCAGGTGCCGGGTACTATATGAAGCAATTTACAGTGTATTAACCCATTTAATCCTCACAATAACACTATGAAACAGGTATTATTATTCTTCTCAATTTACGGATGCTAAGTAACAAACCCATAGTCATTCAAGTAGTAAATAATAGAGCTCAAAAATAAATGCAGACATTCTGACTGCATTCTGATTACTGAATTGTGTACATTTAACCAACCACAATGCTAGAAGTTGTTAAAATGCTTTTGTTTGATACATCTTTAATGACTGATTGCTGATGACTATATAATCATTCAAAAACTCAAGTAGGGCCTAAAAAAAATTCCCAGATAAGTCACACCCAGAACTAGCCAACTGCCATTTATTACACATACTGCTGGGGAAAAAACTTCCAAGAGCTCTAACCGAAGATTCCCCTAGTGGTTCACCATGTGCTGTGCTAAGTCACTCCAGTAGTGTCTGACTCTGCGACCCTATGGACTATAGCCTGCCAGGCTCCTGTGTCCATGGAATTCTCCAGGCAAGAATACTGGAGTGGGGTGCCATTTCCTCCTCCAGGGGATGTTACCGACCCAGGGATCAAATCCACGTCTCTTATGTCTCCTGCATTGGCAGGAGGGTTCTTTACCGCTAGAACCACTTGGGAAGCCCATGCTCAGTGATAAAACCATTTTGAGGAAGAGCTTTTCACACTATATCCAGAGGTATTCTCTCTCACTTACAACGTGGATGTTGCCATCTCAGACTTTTCACGAAAAGTTGGAGATTCGTAAACAGAATCATTTTCCCATGCTGATTCTTCCATTATTCTCCACAAAAGTTAAGTATATTAAACTTATGTAGACGTGAAATGTTAGCATTAGAAACAATAATAGAATCAGAATTTTACTGGATAAGAACTCAACTAATTCATATTGCAGACCTGGAGAGGCTGTCTAGCTGACCCACCCAAAGCTACACAATAAATTAATAGCAGAACCGAATGCAAGTTACTCCCAAATCAGATCTTCATCCACATCACCATGTTGTCTATGCCCTACTACAAAAGTCTCAACTCCTTCAAGAGTTCATCTGAGAGGCTATTCAGATGCATCAATGCATATTTGTACTTTTATTGATATATTATTAGATTTGCACATACCCACCACTGATACCTATTCTGGCTCAACCTGAAACAAACCTAAAAAAATAAACACAAAAGCACTTTTAAAAGCTCACTACTGAGATTCAACAAATATTAACTAACTTATCTATTTTGAGTTTCCAAATACTCCAAAAGCACATAAATCAGTTTTTCTCCTCAAAATATTTAAGTCATTGCCTCTCAAAGCGTGAAAGGTTCCAGAATCAGACTTAACAATATACTTATTAAAAATTCAAATTCCCAGTGTCATCCCCAATTAAACAATCTCTTAAACTCCCAAAATGGTATTTTAAAAAGCTCTCCATATGATTCTTATTCATCCAAAATCAACTTATTGAACATTCACTCTACAACATTCCAGTGGGAAACAAGGAACAAACAAGTAAACAAAAACAAGAAAACATTTTGGATTTTATCTGTGCAATGAAGAAATAAAGGTAATATGTCGAAGAGCGACCTGGAAGACTACAGTTGTCCCTTAGTAATCTCAAGGGATTGGTTTCAAAACCCCCATCAGATATGGGATAGCCAACTAACAGTACTTTAAGGAGCAACCAGACACAGAGTTTTCAGGGCAGTGAAAATATGTTGCATGATATTATGACAAATCCATGTTATTATACTACATTTGCTCAAACCCTCAGAATGTACAAGCGTGGAACCCTGACATAAACTATGGACTCTGGGTGATTATGATGTAGGGCCATAAACTCTCAAAAATGTACCACTCTGGTGAGGGATGTTGATAATGGGAGATACTATTTAGGTCTGGGGGGGGAAGAGTTATATGGGAAATTTCCTTATCCTTCTGTATCTTTCTTAATATTGCTGTAAACCTAAAATTGCTCTTTAAAAATAAAGCCTTAAAAAAAATAAAAGTAAGAAGGTCTTTCTGCAGAGGCAACATTTGGAGTAGTCCTTCACTTAAGAACAATGGTTCTCAAATTTAGTGTGCATCAAAATCACCTGGTGGACTTACTGAAAATGATTTCTGGTTAGATGGTCTTGAGTGGGGCCCATTCCTAACAAGAGTGCAGATAATGTTGATGTTGCTAGTCCAGAAACCACACTTGGAGAATGATGGATCTAAAAGGAACAGCTAAAGGGTTTGAATAACTTTGGTGTGTTAGAAAAAGAGGAAAACAAGGCCATTAGAAGGGAGGGTAATGTCATTGCTTCGGAACCACTTAAGACAGTAAAGCAAACTACCAACCATGCCTATCCAGACCAGAGATAGGATCACAGGCTGTTCAATAATACCTTACAATTGCAAAGCATTGCATAGTTTAAGAAAGTATTTTCACTTTCATTACTTAATTTGATTTAATGAGATATAAGTGAAGAACTGTAAGCTACATTTTAGAGGTAAAGAAACAAAAGGACAGAAACATGATGAACCTGAGGGAACCAGAAAACAAAGGGCAGAACTATGTTCCCTAACTTCAATCCAGTGTTCCTTCCAGACAGCAAGTTTGATTTTTTTTTTTAAAAAAAGCAAAGCAAAAGATACACACAGGAGGTAATACTAAGTCATTCTCTAGACTCTGCTGCCTAAAAATATGGTGGCTTCCAGACTTAATTTGTTCTAGACACTGGTTAGAAAGCAACACTACCTTAAGACTGACAGTATTTAGTCTCATCTGCTTATTTCTCCTAGTTCAAAAACAAACGATGACGAAGTAAAGAGGACATTTACGCACAATTATTCTGTCTTGCATAAATAAGACAGAACAAATTTCATAACCTCAGTCCCTCAGCCACATCAATCAAACACAATTTTCATCTTGTATCGCCTCTAAATCTCTCACCTAATCCAGGTTCCCACAAGAACACTGAATCTCACAAGTCTTAACTACACTCATGAGGCCCTCAGCAGTTAGTTATACACCCATTATCCACCCTCCCTATACCCATTATCATTTAGTATCTTCTCCATCAATTAAACCCTCACTTTTATCACTCTTACCTGCAAGTCTCAATAATACTTCAAATCCAAAACTGAAATCATCATATCGTCCCTCCAAAACACACGACACACACACACGACACACACACACACACACACCTGTTTCTGTGCCTGAATTATCTGATTTTGCATTAATAGCACTGCCACCCACCAAACAAGAAACCTGGAACTTGGCCTAGACACCTGTGTCTCTCTCACACCAATCTCAACTGGCCCCTCATCTCCATTCTTAGTGCTACTTACAACTAGTTACCATCAATGATAAACTAGCTGCCATTTCACTAGTAACTACCATGTACTAGTCACTTTGTTACATGTACTAGCACCATGTACTAGTCACTTTAAGTCACTTCATTCTATCAATAACTTTATGAGGTAGATAATTTTTGTCCTTGTAAAATTAATCTGTCCAACTAGGCAAGAAGTGACCAAGTAGGCATCTAAGAAAAACGTTTTCTCCAGAAGTCCGTACCTTTCCCCCATGACAAAACACTTCCTTCTTCAACACCTGACAACGGTCCTTTACCAGCTAATTTCTCTCCTAGATTACTGCCAGAATTCTCCTAACTAGTCCTGCCACAGGTTTTTTCTTCCCTTACCTTTCAATGTGCCCTCAAGCAATCCTGGTAGATCACAAATGTCATCCTTTTATCCTAATACAAAAGTCTGTGAGGTGACTTCCCTGGTGGTCCAGTGGCTAAGACGCAGCACTCCCAATGCAGGAGGCCCAGGTTCAATCCCTGGTCAGGGAACTAGATCCCACATGCCACAACTAAAAGACCCCGCATGCTGCAAGGAAAACCCTTGCAGGATAAAGAAATATTAAAAAAAAAAAAAAGTTCTGTGTAGATAGACTCCCTTTAGTCTATCTACAATGTACCAGGATACATTTCACAGGATGAATCCAAACCCTTTAGTACAGGTCGACAATCCCTTACCTTCAGCCCCAAACTTCAAAAGCTTTGAAATTTTAAAGTTTTTTCATGAGTCTGCAACAAAACCCACCCTGAACTGTGGGGGGTTATTTCTCTATCCCATTAGTAATATTCATATGCCTTACCACGGAAACATTAACACTTAATGAATTGTTAACCCAGACCCCGCTGGAGTATTGAAGACCTCAGCAGGAAAAAGAAAAATTTTCAAAGTATTCTGACCTCTAAAACACACCTGGTACCAAGAGCTTCAGGTAAGGGATTGTAACTTCTTACCTACTCAGCCCATCAAACCAACTTAATTTCCAGTGATGACCTGATCCGTCCTAGGAATGTATAAGATGTCCTGTGTTCTGAAAACTCTACAACTACAAGCTACTCTACTCTACAACCTACTCTCCCTTCAAGAAACGTACGCAAGGATTGCTTTTCAGTGAAGTTTTCCTGACCTTGTCTTGACTGTGCCACAAACACTGCATCCACCTCTACTGCTGTATCTTATACGTCTGTTTCCCCTATGTTGGGCAGTGAACCGACTCCTCACTGAGCATTTTATCCAATCGCAGCACGGTATCCGAAACACTAAGGGTCCATTAATGTCCAAGAACTGAAATTCATCCCAACTCTCCCTAACACCCAATTCCCTTCAAAGTTCAGTTCTCCTTTACCCCTAAACCTAAGGTTTTTTCCCTAGCCATGCAGGCCCCTCACAGCGATTTTGTTTGCAGAGTTCCTTCTTCTCAATGTCATCCTAAAGTTACTTTCTACCAGACGCCTTTTCTTAGCCCCAAATTCTCCAATGCCCTTTAACCTTCCTAGTCCTTCTTTCCCCGAGCTTTGAACAGGTCTCCCTCTAAGGCAATTCATCCTCACTGCCCTTATCTCTTACCTACTCCCTCCTCAACACCTCTCGGGGCTGGGCCCTCCCTTGAAAACGCTTCTCACAGGCGGATTCCCAGACCCCCTCTTGGCCCACAATCCGTTCCATCAGCTCCCGAACCTGCGCTCGGCCCGAGTCCACGCCTTCCCGGCCCGAATCTGCACACCACGAACCTCCCCTGCAGCCGGCGTCCCCTCCCCCAGCCTCTCGCAGCCGGCACCCCTCCCTTAACCCTCCCCGTCTCTCTGGAGGTTCAGCTTCTCTGAGAACTGTCCCAGGAGCCGTGTCTTTCACCTCTGAGACTCCTCAGGATCACGCCGGTCAGAGCAGCCCCGCGCCCGAGTACTCTCAGAGGACCCCAGATCCTCCTCGGCACAGCAAAGCCCCTTCGGCCCAGACCTCGGGCCGGGCCTCCCTCTCACCTTGCTGGATGTCGCCGTTGCTGCCCCCCGGGATGGGCACGTTGAGTTGGCGCTCGGGCTCAGGCAGGCAGCGCAGGCAGAAGGAGTGAAGACAGGGCAACAGCTTGGGCTCCGCCTCACGCCGGCTCTGCAGGCTCTGCTGACACACGGCGCAGGTGTCCAGGAGCGAGGCTGGCGGTCCAGGAGGCGGCCCCGCCGAGGGACCCGGAGCAGGAGCCGAGGCCGGAGCTGGGGCTGGCGTCGATACCGCCCCCCCGGGAACTCCAGGGCCCACTGAGGCTGCAGGAGCTGAAGAAGCCGGGGCCGAGCCCGAGGAGGCCGCGGCCACCCCCCCGTCGTCGGGCCCGGCCGCGCTGCTCTCCCCGCCGGCCCTGCCGCCTTCCTCCTCCTCCTCCTCCACCAGCACCGCGGCGAGAGGCGGCTCCGCCTCCTGCGCCGCGGGCCCGGCGGCCCCGGCAGTTACCGGCGCGCTACCGCTGCCCCCGCCGCCGCTCTCAGCCTCGCCGCCGCCTTTGTTTTCCGCCATGTTTTCCTCTTTGAACCCGCCGGACCGCCCCGAGCAAGCTAGAGAACGAACGAACGAGAGCGCGCGCGCACGCAGCACCCCCACCCTCGCGTCGCGCGGTTGCTGGAGGGCGGGCGCGGCGCGCGCACGTACGCACGGACGTCCTCCGGAGGGAGGCGGGAACTCCGGGCGCGGGCGCGCAGCCGTCCAGGTTGCCCCTCCCGACCTCTGGGGCCTGCACGTAAGATTTTGCCCCGCTGCAGTTCCGTTCGCTGGGAGCCCTTAAAGCCATAGACTGTTGACGCTGAACTACCTTTAGTCGCGGTGGTTAAGAGCTCGGACGCGGCCACTATACGGGGAAGAGCGGGAAAGGGTGGAAGGCCGGGGCTGCTTCCCGCGGAGCGAGCGACCCTCGGGTGGCGCGGTTCCCAGGGTGGGCGCATCTCCGAGGAAACCTCCCTCCGCGCGGGGTTAGACTCCCAGGCCTCCTGGATCTCTGTGCTTTAATTGGCCGCGTTCCTTTGGATGATTGTATCTCTCGGGAGCAGTAAAGGGAGGATTTTTGTTTTTAACTGGCGGCGTACCAGAAATAGGCCGAAAAAACTCAGTGAAGAAAAAAAAAACTCTTTAACCGCTATTTTTAGCTTCTTAAGGTGATTGTTTTCTCTGCCGTTGCTACGCATCAGAAAACCAATCAACTGAGAGGCTTTTTCAGAGCGGAGATGTGCCAGGACCACACCCCAGACCTGCATCAGGAAGTGGGGGTGAGCTGATGAATGTTGAAAGCGCTTTGACTGACTGATGGGCGTCAGTTTGAGAAGTCACGCTCTAACCAATATCATGTTCTCAGAGTCCCACTTAGTGTCCTGGCGTGAGTTGAGTCGCAAATGCTTTAACCAGTGTAGGTAATAGCAGCTTTCTGGAAGGGTTGTCTTTATTTGGGAAACAAGTACTGTGGCTGTTTTAATGTTCAGATCATGAAGTACTTTCCTCTTCTGACAATGTTTCCAAGAAACTGTTATTCTTGAGCTGGTATAAGCCTTTACAATAAGCCACCTCGAAACATTTTTCATTTATTCGTTCAAAACAGTGACCTCTTACTATGTGACAGGTGGTATTTTAAAGATGCTAGGATTGCAGCAGGGAACAAAGGAGACCCTTGACTTTCAAGAAGTTTTCAGTCTGGGAAAAGAGTGACGTAAATACATGCAGGGAATGATAAAAGCTGTGAAGGGGAAAAAAGAATTCAGATTAGAGATGGTTGGGGAAGTCCTCTGTTGATCAAGCTTTGGTTCTCTTGCAGAAGAGTGTTCTAATCAGGAACAAGCAGTAAGTACAAAGGGCCTGAGGTAGACAGATTCTTGTCTTGTTAGAGTCTGTGTGACTGGAGTGACTTGACAGAGGCAAAGAGAAGTAGGAGATTAAAGAATTAAAGGAGCCGGTCACATACAGAGATGGCCTTCAATTTGCTAAACTTTTGTGTTTTGGAAAAGAACTTTGAAAAACTGCTTTCTCGCCTCAAACAATTTAAGATGATCCTGAAAAGTTTTCATCGAGAGTGTAAATAGTTGCAGAGACTGCCATTTATGACATTTTGCATTACTAACATTTTTCAGTTTTCACATTAATTTTAAATCTACCCAGTGGAAAGGTAAACAGGTGGTTTAACAAGCATCATCCATTTAAAAAGTACATAATCAAAAGTGTTCCACTTCATTAAATAATATTAAACATGAAATGTAAAATGTTAATTGGGAGTGTCTCTTAATGAGATGACTGGTAGTGGGTGTTTTTTTTAGTTTGTGTAGACATAACATAACATTACTAGGAAGAGATACAGTCCTGTATCACATTTTTATTGACCTAAGTCACTTCATTTAAAAAAAAAGTGTGTATATGCGTGTGTGTATATATATATATATATATATATATATATATATGAGAGTCGGATCATAAAGAGGGCTGAGTGCTGAAGAATTCATGCTTTCAAACTGTGGTGCTGGAGAAAACTCTTGAGAGTCCCTTGGACTGCAAGGAGATCAAACCAGTCAATCCTAAAGGAAATCAGTCCTGAATATCCACTGCAAGGACTGATGCTGAAGCTCCAAGATTGAGGGCAGAAGGAAAAATGGGTGACAGAAGATAAGTTGATTGGGTAACATCACTGACTCAATGGACATGAGTTTGAGCAAACTCCGAGAGGACAAGGAATCCTGGCGTGCTGCAGTTTATAGGGTAACAAAGAGTTGGGACACAACTTAGTGACTGAACAACGAAAAACAGTACCTGGAGGAATCGGGTGGAGAGGGAGGTGGGAGGGGGGATCCAGATGGGAAATAGATGTAACTCCATGGCTGATTCATGTTAATGTATGACAAAACCCACTGCAATGTTGTGAAGTAATTAGCCCCCAACTAATAAAAATAAATGAAAAAAAAATTTGAAAAAAAGAAAAACAGTACCTGGCACATGGTAAACATGAAATGAATGTAAAAGTAGACCCAAAGGTTCATGAAGGGAACACAACTAGGGGTAGAAACAAAGGTACCTGAGAGAAAAATCTCAAAAGAAACCATACTATGGACTGAACTGAGCAGTGGGTATAAGGATCCCGCCATTTCCCTGACCTTGGCTATCTTTTACGCCAACTGCCTTGCAAGAACATTGTAAGAAAAACACATTTCTGAAATAAAGAGAGATTATCAATCAGTGCCTAGTAGCTCTGGCTGTGGAGGAAACTGCCCTGATGTTGCTGGTAACCAGAAGAGGAAAGAACTTCCCGCTATCCAGAAAAAAAGAGCACTGGGAGTGAGCAATGGTGAGAGCATAATTCATGAGCTGGGTACAAGAGGTTGGCAGCAGTGAGGCAGAGTAGCCCAAGAGTACCATGAAGGTTTGCAACGGCCAGTTCTGCCACTCTTGGGCAGAACAGCCTTGGTTGTCAGCAGGATTGGAAGCAATTCACAAAGACCAGCAGAGGAATGCTGAATTGCAGTTAAGATTTGGGGCA